AATCTTACTGCTAGCATGGTCTTGGTTTCGAAATGTCCACACTTTTAGTCGACAAAAGAACTTCGCATAGATCCCTGCTTTTTCCCATATTGGTCCATATTATTGAAGTATTTCCTATAAAGTATCATCTCTTTTTGTTGTCGAAATATCAAAGTAAAATCCTTYTTTCTAATATCACTTTTAAGATGGGCCTAAATTGCTTTTCATCTTCGCAAATCGATTTCCCGGATGTGCGGACGCGTCGAAGTTATGACAAAATTGGCGGGAATATTTCTGTGCTGTTATTTCGCTCTTCAGTGGATTTTTTCCTTGTTATTAATTGTTCTAATATTATCAATATGTAATATAAATGCTTAAGGAAAAAAAATCGATTTTTTTAACAAATACTTGGCGCTTTGTTTCCTTTTCCAGCAGAGTATGGGTTTCCTGTGGTGGTACACGGAATCCAGGACGGACGGACGGAAGGAAACGTGGGTACGCGCGGGAACCCTGTTTCGGTCCATGGAAAATCGACTCGATGGTATACCATTTTTTCTTAGCTATGGTGCTCCGCTATTAATTAAGGGAGCTCTGCTATTAATTTATTCTCATTGTTTTCTAGTAATTTATTCATTAATTTGCAGTTACCGGTTTCCCTGTTCTACATTTGATTATTTATTCATTTATTTTTTGGCAAAGAAAGAAATCTAAAGAAATGTCATCTTCTCTGAGTCTCGAATCTCAGACCTTTGATTTAGAAATCGAAAGCACACATTCGGCCACGCRTACCAATGTTACATAATTGCGGTTAGACTTGTCTTTTAACTGCAGGTGCTCGCTCCTGGTTGGGCAAAAATCAAAGTTAAAAATAATTAGATTATAACTAAAAAGAAAACTGTATTCATAAAATAATGTAAAATTTCAATGAAACATATTTCGTCGATTGACTCTTTGATGATCAAATTTTTAAGAAAATTTCTATTTGGCTGTTTGTTGAAGTTTCTATTGTTTGCTTTAATTGAACTCCCGAGATATCGATCGTTGCGGTTGAGGCGAAGTTGTGTTTACTTGGGGATTGTTATTATTGCGTTTTGACACTTGCGGTGATTTTACATAGTTTAATCTGGCTAGACTGGGATCCAGAACCGAAGTCAAATTAATAAGACATAACGAAAAAACAAACTATATTCATAAATCAGATACTCAAAATTCTATTTGTCAAGTAATTATAATTCGATTCATCGTATCGTTCTTTATTCGTCTAAACAATCAATCTTCGAGTTGTGTTGCCATTGGCGGCTTGATTTCTTAATCGTAACTATCCTCCACATGTCATTGATCAAGCTCTGCGTAAAGTCTCTCACATTGATCGTAACACTGMTCTCACACCTAAGGTTCGTGCTCCTAATGACCGTATTCCTTTCACTCTTACGCATCATCCTATTAACAGTTCTATTAAGCCTATTATTAATCGTAATTACTTCTTACTCACTTCTGAAACACTTTTCACATCTTTAACGACCGACCCCTCTTTTCTWATAAACGTTACCGTAACCTTCGTTCCTTCCTAGTCAAAGGTGTTTTTCATTCTAATAATGATCCCGGTACTTTTCGTTGCTCACGTAAAATTTGTAACACTTGTCCGTAYATTGTCTCGCATACTTCCATTGTTGRTCCTAMCTCGTCACTCAGAATCACTGATCACTTTGAATGTACCACCTCTAATGTTGTCTATTGCATTAAATGTTCGCTTTGTAATATGTTGTACGTCGGCGAGACTGGTCGTCGTCTTGGCGATCGTATTCGTGAACATCTTTATAGTATTCGTCATAAAGTTCTTTTATTAAAATAAGCCTGTTTCCCGCCATTTTAACCTACCCAACCATTCACTTTCTAACTTCATTGTTTTTGGTTTGTCTTTGATTAGCGGCAATAATGATTGTCGCAAAACCAAAGAAATGCGGCTCATTCACCAATTGGGCACTTATAATCCCCATGGGTAGAACGAACGCTTTGTTTTCAGATAGGTTGTTTATCTTTTGTTCCCTTTTTAGAAACTTTATTGTTCTTTTGTCTTACACTTCCTTTGCTTTTTTGTTTATTTCATGTTACCATGCCTACTTTGCTCCTATTAGTCTATTTTCCTTCCTAATCTTACTGTATAAACTCACCCTTTACCAAGTCTCATCACTTTTACTCCGACGAAGGATTAACGTCCGAAACGTCAGTAAGTTATTTCACATACTTTTTTACGGTGTTAAACTTATCTTTTTACACAATACATTCTTTGTTAATTTGATGAAACTAGAAATACTGTTCAGCTAATTTTTATCCAAACGTTTTGAAACTTGGTATATTTACTAATTTTGGGGTGTCCTTTAATGGGGCGAGGTTTGTTTCGTGATTATATCAATATTTCTTTGCCCTGCGCAACTCCGGAATGCCTAATATACAAGGAAATGAACGACTTTTCGTCCATGTGGGATGTTATGTAAAATCATTTTTCTTTCTATTAAGAAGTCTACTAAGCCTAAACGTTATCAAAATACATTCTTAGATAATGCTCCCTTGATCTTAATTATAAATTGTACTAATGATATAACTTTTGAGTTTTCATACAAGCTAGACAATCAAAGACCGAATATATACAATATGAATAATGATAGCCTGCGTTACATCCGGTTTATTACGCCAAAATAACCGTCTGCGAATTATCACAAAAATTCGTGTTCTAGACCACCAGCCGAGTTGCACGGTTATATATAACAGGCTCTCATTGGCTGCTGAATCAACTCAATCTTACATGCGTTCTTATTCGCTTAGAAGCTCAAATGAAGCCGCCAATGGCAACACAACTCGAAGA